GTATTTCTTATCTTGGAAGTCTGGATTGCTGCCAAAGTCTTGTCGGTGTGTTTAATTTACTGTGAATAAATTGTCTAGCAGTAATTTTGTCTTGGAGTGCCTCTGTGTACGGAGGGGGAGTCAGAACATAACCTCTGAACAATAACTTAACAAAGTGAATTGGTGACTCTACGGCTTATATATATTCCCAAATGCAGGGTCTGACTTCTGTTAATTGATTTGGGGGATTTTACTCCAGTGCTTTTGATGGGAGATCAAATGACAGAAAATAAATGTAAATAATCCAAATATACTTTATTTATACTTACGATCCCAACATCGTCTTCATAACTAGTAACCTGCTTATAATAGGGTGATCCAGAAAGAACTCTCCATACCGACAAACCACAACTACTCGCTTTAGACTTCCCAGCTCCATCATCATCCATTTCGTAGCCACCAATAATCAAGACTCTATCAGAAGAAGATTACAACACAATTTAGTTTTGCATTCTCCAGTTCCTCAAGTTTGTGCCTTTTTTTTGGGGGGGGGGGTGGAGCATTTTCATCTGTCATAATTTAATAATTACCAATTTACTGATTTCAGCCTTGAAAACCATCATTTATATCACTCTGGGGCATAACAAATCCCGAATCCCAATTCACAATTTCTATTTAAAACTATTACTTAGAAAGAGATAAAGAAAATCAAGAACAAACCGCCCTGAATTCAGCTTTATTTGCCACTAAGTGTATGAGATTGTAAAGTAATTAATCTAGCAAGCTAATTTCCAAAGTAATTATGTGTTTCAATTTTTCAGAACGCGTTGCAAATTAAAAATATGTAGTGAGGAGATATGGCATCATCTACCCAAATAAAGGAATGAAAAAGCATTTTACGCTTTTGGTTTTTTTGCAAGTAGTAAAATATTACCACCTAGTGGTAGATGAACGCACGGCATGTTCTGTCATGAATAACTATAATTTAACTATAATTTACTTCACACATTCATTGGCTAATTATCAAGTACAGAGTAATAAAACTAATCAAATTCATCCAGCAAAAAAAAAATTGTCTATTAAATTCTTTAGTAATTTTCTTTTAGTAATTTTTCAACAGCCAAGAAATGTTATTCAATTCTGCTTTTTAGATTTGCTGGCAATGAATTTATTTTTCTGACAATTCAGGTAACCATGGTTTTATTTTTAAAAAAATGTTTTATTTACTTTATTGAATTTTATTCAATTTATGTAACCAATCATCTTGCAGTCATAACTGTGCTCATTGGCTGGGTCACAATAAACAAATTACCTTACAGCTAAGAGAAATAATCAAGCACCATTTAAATAAATCATTTGTAAACTGCACTATTTTTCTCCGCCTGGGAGGGGGAAAAAAGAAACGTGTCACCAGATTCCAGGGCAATATGCAAAAAGAAAGTGTATTCTGCAGTGTAAAAAGAGATCTATTCATTAATTCAATAGGAATTCAGACAAAAGGAATTAGCAGATTACTTCTGCTAATTACATCCTAAGCGACTCCATCCCTACAGTTAGACATTGAGCCATGGTGGCATAGTGGTTAGAGTGCAGTACTGCAGGCTACTTCAGCTGCAGTTCAGCAGTTCAAATCTTATTGGCTCAAGGTTGACTCATCCTGTGACCCGTCAAAACCGCGCTCGACTAAACCGCGCCCGATTAAACCGCGTCACTGACGTCATCAACAGNGTGTGTGTGTGTGTGTGTGTTTGTAGGCATCTGATGTCTGGAGACTGCCAGTTCTGACTGCTTCTCTGTGATGCTAGGAATGTGCCCCAAGATATTTGTCTCAGCTTCTCTCATTCTTCTTTTTTCCTTTCTGGTTGCCTTATGTTTTAGGGGGGAGTAGTTATTGTGGATGAAAACTAGCTCTTTCAGTGCTGCATTCCTGTCTTTTTATTATCCTTCCAAGGAATATGAGCTTCTCATTTGGAAGAAAAAATGCTTGATATTCCAAGACATGGGGAAACATATGAGAAGCTCATCATCACTCCCCCAGCAACCTGCCTTCATCCCTCTGTGATCATCAAAAATGGAGATAGGGATATTAGGCAAGGGTTGGTGGGACCAAGCTGGAGCAGGATCTTTGTGGAAGAAAGAACAGCTTAGAACACCATTGACTTTCTCTTCCTTCTCATTTTCCTTTCAATGTGTACCACTGTAGGGGCAGATGATATAATGGACTCTTGCCAGTGTCCTCTTGGTGGATACTAAACAGGAGTAAATATGTGGGGATTCTCAATTTCCCTGAAGAATTGCTTTAGTCTTCAAACAGGTCCAGAGAGAGAAAGAGATGGTGCTCTAATCCAACCTCTCAATGAGCCCAAATATTTGCCACAGTGGGTCTGTGTTTAATAGTCACTGGGCAAGTAAAACTGCTTAGTGATATGACTCTTACAGTGTTGCTAGCAATACTTCTAATAGTAAACTTGTAGAGTTATATAAGGGTAACATTATTTTTTAAAATCCTATCCTTTTCCTGTTTTTCAGTGATCATTATTGATAATAATGCAAAAGTTCTTTTTTTGTTATAAACATTGTTTCAATGAAATTGTTGTTGTTTTCATATACAATAGAAACACAAACAATTATCATTCTTTTATCACTTTTTCATGCTAACATATTTTATTAAAATCAGACTCTTTATCAGATTTTTTTTGCCACCAAAAAGTAAAAAATCTCTCCTCCTTCAGTAGAAGGGCACTAATTAATAATATTAGTGCCCTATTTCTGAAAACAGTAGAGATCCAAAAAGTTTCAAACGTTGGTTTGGTTAGACAATACTTTGAATCACTCCATCAATGTATATTCATAAAGAGGACATCCAATTCAATTCTTTGAATGAAATCAATAAGAAATGGTCCATAGCTTTGTGAAGTGATCTGCAGATTCAAAGGCTTTTCTGCTTCTTATGGGATTATTATTGACAATATATGTTACTACAATTTCATTCTGCATAGATGGAGGATGATGGTATTGCTGGAGACTAAATGCATGAGTTACTGTACTTCTGATGTTGATATGAGTTGTATTACTTCATTTAACTATATGCCTATCAGACTCCTGGGTTGAGGGCAGGAGAAGAGAACTGGTCTTGCTTGTGGTAGCACTCACAAGTCTTTTGTTTTTATTGTGCAAATGAAAATTTCGACATCTGCATTGATTCTGCCAACAGACTTGGGAAGTCTGTGTCATCCTCACCACTGAGAAAATGGCCTAAGGCTAACCAGCTCACTTTATCTTCTGAATGCTGCAGTATCTCTTGATAATAAATGAATGGTTAGCAGACTACTACAGGTGTCAGTCCTAAAATTTATTTCTAATAAGAATTTTGGGGGGCTGGGGGGATGGCACACTATCTGTTGCAGCCTTTTTTGTTTCATGGCACTGGATCTCATTTGCCAGACTCTTTCATCTGTCTCTGCTGTTGCCAACAATGTGCAACCCCAATGGAACCATGTTCCACAGAACTTCAAAGATGGCAAGTCTGCCCCTGCACCTCATCCAGACAGATCATGCTGCCAAATGTAGTTATGAGAAGTCCTTTCCAGGAGGAGTCAATAATTGGAGGCAGGAAAATTACACCATCTCACAAAACAAGTCAGTGAACAATCTTCAGTGGCACGCCAAGCTCAGCATCCCAGAAAAGTCAAATTGAAGCACAAGAAGTATTTACAGTGCTTGTTTTTATTTTGGAATTGGATACTATCGGCATGGATTCATTCCAACTTCTCAATAGCTACTTTTCTTTACCCTTGTTATTTCTGCCATAGAAGATGTACAGAGAAGATTTTTGTAAATTTTTAAAATCAATTGTTATCCCTTTTTGTGAATAGAATGAAATACTCATATAATACATTTCAGTATTTCTGCATTGAATCTTCGCTCCATCAAACAGAACTCAAAATGGGTCAAATCATCAGTTTACTTCAAATTTTGAGGTAAATGTGAACCAATTAAAACTGAATCTGGGCTGAAATACATATAGTATTTCCAAGAAATAGATTGTGCTTTAAGCATAAGTTGTTTTGAATGCTACCAAATTAAATTTTACCTTGATCTTCAAGATAATGAGTTTCAATAAACTTAACATAGGGAAAAAATAGGATTCCATGTCAGGAGAGACTAACAGAAAAATATGGATGGGAAATACTTAAAAAAAAAACAATAATAAAAATTTCAATTGCAAACAATCGAATAGCTTAGTGTGACTACCCCAAAAATTTGCAAAGAAAAAAGAAGAAATGTAGGTTATGGAAAAAAGGTTATCTTATTAAAAATACATACAAGGAGTGATGGTTTCAGAAAAAAAATTCAGAATTCAGAATGATGAAGAATTTTAAAAGCAGTAAAATATAAAGTATTGTGTATTAAAAATACAAGAGGACAAACTCACTATATGAGTTGCTCAATGAATATAGCAAAGCTAACTAACAGGGAACAAGAAAAATGGTCAAATGTCAACTAGACTTGTTGTGGTTACCAGAAATGGATTTAGCTCAAGGGGGACTTTTACTTTCTAAACTTTATTAGTTATATTATGTAATATATTCAATTTGAGTGAAATACCACATGCCAAATTAATTAAATGTGGGACCTGATGGCAGGACTATTAAGTGCCAATATAGATAGCTTGAATCCTTGCTCAAAGACTGAGTGTAACAATGGTTCTCCATCAAACTGGAGCTACATATTAAGTATGATGTCAAAAAGTTTGGTATTGGGCCCTATATTCTGCAATATTTTTATTAATGTATTGGAAGAGCGTGGCACGACAAA